CTTGAACTCACTATGTAGTCCAGACTGGCCTCACTCTCGGCAATCCTCCTGCCTCAGCCTCCAGTGTGCTGGGATGACAGATGTGCACCACCACACCGAGTGGCTTGGTTTTTTTGTTTTGTTTTATTTTTGAGACAAGGTCTAGCTTTGTACCACGGGCTGGCCTCGAACTCACAAGGTCCTCTTGTGTGGTGGTACACATCTGTAATCCCAGCAGTTGGGGAGGCTGAGGCAGGAGGATGGAGGTAAGTTTAAGGCCAGCCTGGGCTACAAAGTGAGTTCAAGACCAGCCTGAACCTCATAGCCAGATCCTGTCTCAAAAAAAAAAAAAAAAAAGTCAGCCAATGAAATTATCTGTACTTGAGAAAGCTCCTTTTGTTGGGCCTCAGTGTCCTGGTCTGTAATATGGAGCTAAAAAGATTTATCACAGTTGTGGGACTACACCAGGTAATGTATATAAAGTGCTCCAGGGGGTCAGAGTTGGCACAGAGCTGGTCTTCTGTAAAGGGTTAGGCTGTACCTAGCTGGCTTTAAGTAAACTACTGTCTCGGGGCCTGTCCATCTGGTATTGTTTTTGATCTGCTTCCTTTTTTCTTTTTTTGTTTTTTGGTATGGGGGATTGAACTCGGGTCCTTGCACTTTCGAAGCAGGTGGCAGAATCACTGAGCTAGATCCCCAGCTAATCTGCTTGCTAACCCTAGGTTCCCTGTGACTCCTCGAAATGTGTAGAGGTGGCTCCTCTATGTCTGATTCTGAGAACTGTACTCTCTGAACTAGAGGAAATAGCTGAGGCTAGAAACTCCAGGAGCCCTGGGAGTACAGCGCTATGGGTAGTTAGTGGGAAGAGGTCAGATGTACTTGGGTTCAAATCCAGGGACCAGCACTTTTTGTTTTGTTTTTTTGAGACAGGTTCTCACTATGCAGTTCAGGCTGGGCTTGAACTTATGGTGATCCTCCTGCCTCAGCCTCCCAAGTGCTAAGATTATAGGTGTGGGCCACCACACCCAGCCCAGGGTTCAGCACTTTGGAAGAGGCTGAGGCAAGAGGACTACAAGTTTGAGCCCAGCCTGGACAACTTAGTGAGACCAGGTCTCAGAATAAAAAAGGGGGGGAGGGGTGCTGGAGAAGTACCTCAACATGAAGACCCTGGGTTCAATGCCCAATACTGGAAAGAAACAAAAAAAATTCCAGGCTCCAGCACAAATCATCAAACTCTGACATTTGGCATGTTTATTACCCTCTCTGCACTCTAGTTTCCTCATGTATTAAATGGGGATAGTAATCACCTATAGTTCAGAGAGAGCTGTCGAGACGATTTGCTAATACAAGTGAAAGGCTTACTTGGTGAATTTTTTAGCTACTTGAAAGCATAACCAAAATTTATGGACAAGATGGAATTTGAGGGCCACAGCTCTCCTCAATGCTAAAGGATTCTATTTCCAACACCTGGAGCCTTCCCGAATCCCATATTAATGGGAAAATCCCATTGAACATCTGCCAAATGGGAGTTTAGGGACATCTCCTCGTTCTGCTCTCCTTCACAAAAGAAAATCAAGGCCAAGTTGGGTCTGTGTGCATCTAGAAGGTGATTTCTGCTCAGAGGGGCAGAATGTCCTGATGCCCCCTGTGTCTTTTGGCCAGGTCTACCTCAAGGTCCTATGTGGGAGAGGCAGGTTTATAAGACAGGTTGAAAGAGGTCTGTAGGCCAAAAATAGCAACCAGTGCTCACTGTGGGGTCTATGCTTTTAGATTAGAAATAACATTTAAGAATCCTGGAAGGAACATTGGAAAATGGGAGTCAAAGCCTGGAGAAGTTACAGTGACTTACCAACACGGACGGCCAGAGCTGGAGCCCAGATCTCCTGATCCATGGAAGACAAAGAACACCTTCCTGTCATCAAGCTCTGCGCAGTCTACCAAGCCATCCAACGTGTCTGTCACTTACCCAAGAGCTGCTCCACACTCCGAGGGCTGCTTTCCTTCCTGCTTTCTCCCCACAGTGGATGGGAGGGTGAGAGCTTCACTCAGTGAGGAGCATCTGCAGGAGGGATCTTCTAAGGTAGAATTTCCTCCTGTAGCCGAGGTTCAGAGATGAAAAGTTAAGTGCCAGCTTTCCAAAGTTGACCATAAAAAAAGAAAAACTCAAATAACAACAGCCTTTTTTCCTCATTTAGAATTTTTCTCCAAGAGACTCTGAGTATAATATCCATCTCCTTTTGTCCCCCAAAGTCTTAAATATTATCGCTTCAGGGAGATCTTTCCTGCCCACCCAATATGCAGAATTAACACCCACATACATTTACCCTGTGCTAGACAATTATTTTAACTCATTTTTATATAGTAACTATTAGAGTTCATACAAACATATGAGGTTTTTGGGGGCTTTTTTTTGTACTGGGGATTGAACTCATGACCTTGCGCATACAAGGCAGGCGTGGTGCCACTGAGCTAAATCTCCGGCCTGTATGAGGTATTCTTATTTTTCTATAATGTGGGGCCTATTGTCTCCATATTGGAGATGACAAAAAAAACACAGAAAGGTAAATAAATCACTTGCTGAAAGTCACACAGAGTCGGGACTGGAGGCGCACATCTGTAATCCCAGCACTCAGGAGGCTGAAATCAGCTCGAGGCCAGCCTGGGCTACAGAGTGAGCTCAAAGATAACCTGAACTACAGAGCAAGACCCTGTCTCAAAAAAAAAAAAAAAAGTCACACAGTAAGTGGTAGGACCTGGATTTGAACTGTTGCATCTCATGCTGGAGTCTGTATATTTTTCTTGTGCTATCTTTTCTTCTTTTTTTGTGTGTGTCGGGGGCCAGGCACCAGGGATCAAATTTAGGACCTTGTGCTTGCGAGGCAGGTGCGGTGCCACTGAGCTAAATACCTGGCTATTTAATAAATTTTATTTTACCCATCTCCCCACTCAAGTTCCCTCCCTTCTCCTTGTTCCCCTTCCCATTTGAACACTTTATTGCCATTTCCCAACATCCATTATACATCAGTCCTTATTTCCATATTCAGTTTCTCACACCAGAGAAACAATGTGGTACTTAAACATGTGTGTCCAATTCATTTCACTTAAGAGTATGGTCTCACCGTCCGTCCATTTAGCTGTAGATGTCTGAAGCTCATCCTTCTTTATAGTAGAATAGTACTCCATTGTAAAACAACAAAAACCCCACATCTTTATCCACTCGTCAGTTGATGGGCATTTGGGCTGTTTCCAAGATTTAGCTATTACAAACTGTGCTGCTATAAACATGGGTGTGCATATATTTCTGTGGTAGGATGCTTTTAATTCTTTTGGGAAGATACCAAGAAGAGGTATAGCTGGGTCAAATGGAACCCCTAGTTTTAGTTTTCTGAGAAACCTCCACACTGATTTCCACAGTGCTTGCACCAGTCTACACTCCCACCAGCAGTGGAGGATTCCCTTCTCCCCACAGCCCCTCCAGCACTTGTTATTGGTTGATATCTTTTTTCCCCTTAAATTGTTTTATTGGTACATTTTACTTATACAATACATTTACATTTATCATTGGGAACTTGTACCCAATGATGTATCTTGGTTCTTATTTTTTCCCCATTCCCCTGACCTCCCTTCCACTCCTCCACCCTTCCCTATTTGCAAAGACTTTGTTTCCATTTTTTCCTTTTCTCATAATTTTTGCTTTCCCTTCTTTCCTTTCCCCTTCCCCTCCCACGTCCTCTACCCCTTTGGACATTTTCTTCCTATTTCAAATTATCAGTTATTCATTTTAATCGTTTTAATCCTTATTTACACTTTCAGTTTCTCACACTAGAAAAACTATTTGGTATTTACACATGTGTGTTCTATTTATTTCATTTAAGAGTATGGCCTCAATATGCATCCATTTAGCCATAAATGTCTCTAGTTTCTCATTCTTTATGGCTGAGTAATACTCCATTTCATTAAAAAACCACATCTTCTTTATCCAGGTTCCAGTTGATGGGCACTTGGGCTGTTTCCAAGCTTTAGCTGCTACAAACTGTGCTGCTCTTAACATGGATGCACATATATCACTGTGGTGTGATTCTTTTAATTCTTT